GTTCCCTTCAAGGAAAGGGTGAACCAAATAAGAGTCATACTGGACATGAATGATAACTCTCAACTCCCACCCCTTTTGATGATGCACTCCATGAAGATCCTAGCCTGGAACTGCAGGGGAATTGGTAACAAGAGATTTCAAAGATACTTTGGTGACATTTTCAGATCCCATAAGCTTGAAATTGTTGTTCTCATGGAAACTAAAGTACCCAGTTCTCATCTTGGGAACTTCTTCTCCCAATTTGGTCTAACTAGGTCCGAAATTATTGATCCGGAAGGAAGAACAGAAGGTATATGATTAATGTGGGATCCCACGCTTGTCACAGTGAACATCCTTCAATCGACTGCCCAAGTCATTCATGCACACATATCACACCTTGATTTTGATGAATAACTTTTATCTGCAATTTATGGAAGCCCCAACCTCTCCAATAGAGACCAACACTGGGACAACCTAAGTCAAATTGGGGATAATTACTCCCATGGATGGATGGCCGTAGGTGATCTTAATGACTTCTCCAGCAACTTAGAAAGAAGAGGGAGAAATGCAGATCATAACAACAAAACTAGAAAATTTAGAGATAGAATCAACAAATGTGGTCTCATCGACCTAGGGTGCAGCGGATCGAGACTTACTTGGAATAACAAGCTAAAAGGATTAGCACACACAAAAATCAGACTGGATAGAGCCTTGGCGAATGCACAATGGACCACACAGTTCCCTAAAACGTTTGTCCCGTAATCTTCCCAGAACCTATTTAGATCACTGCCCCCTTCTTATACAACTAAAAGGTAATCCTTCCCAAGTGTCTTTATCTAGATCATTTAGATTGGAAGTTGCATGGTTAACAAGGCCTGATTTTAAAAAGGAAGTGACCGAAACTTGGAACCAATCAAATAACTCCTTAATTCAAGCTAATTTTGCAAATAATGCGAAGGAGTGGAAATCAACCTCCTTTGGAAAAATTTTTCGTAGGAAAAATAGAGTCATGACTAGACTTGAAGGAATACAGAAAGCTCAAGAGATAAATCACACACACAACTTGAGAGACTTGATGTGCAACTCCTTATTGAATATGATCAAATTTTGGAACAAGAGGAAATTCTCTGACATAAAAAATCAAGGTTCAAATGGATCAAACTAGGGGATAGAAACACAAAATATTTCCATGTTTCCACAATAATTAGAAAAAAAAAAAAACAGACCCCCAAAGTCTGAAAAACTCCCAAGGCATTTGGGTATCTGAAAAATCAGAGATTGAACACACAATATATGAGTATTTTAAAGAGTTATTTGGCTCTGAAAACTCATTTGACGTAGTGGACCTCCACAACTATCCTCACCCTTTTTTAAACAGGATTGACCATCAAATTCTTGAAAACCCTATCACTGATTATGAAATCAAGAATGCAACTTTTAATATTGGGGCAAATAAATCCCCAAGACTAGATGGCCTACAGGCCATTTCCTACCAGAAATATTGTGATGTGGTGGGGGAGTTTGTATGCAATCATATTAAAGACTAGTTATTATCTATGTCTGAAGGCACAGAGTAATAAAAAATAGTAAACAATAAACATATTTATATTCATATCTAAAATTAAATCACAAACATAAAAAAGAGATAAAGAAATTTAAGCATCGATTTGTAATAGGAGTGAGAGGTGGTGGGTGGCAATGACCGTGATGGTGGCGGGGTGGTGGGGGTGGCGGCAACGACGGCAGTGGTGATGGTGGTGGAGGTGGTAGTGGCGGCGGTGGTGGTGGTGGTAATAGAGCTAGTGGTATGACGGTTTTAAACATTATTTTTTTAAAAGTATTTATGAGAAATAATTTTTAAAAGTATTTTTAAAAAGTTACTATAAACACACCTTTAGGCCCCTATTTTTCTTATTAAATTTAGGGTGTTAATATTAGCCGTTAAAACTATAAAGTAAAATTTAAAGCGATCTCAACCACCAATAACAAAAGTCATTTTGTTTATCTTTTGAGATTTGAATTGTAAGTTACTTTATTATATAGATATCATTAAGTCGAGAATATGCCCCAAAGAAATAAATAATTCATGGATTCCTTTAATCCCCAAAATCAATAACCTAGTCATGGCCTCTCAGTTTATGCTTATTAGTCTGTGTAATGTGAGTTATAAAATCCTGTCCAAACTTCTAGGGGCCAGACTCAAACCTTTCCTTGATAAACTTAGCAGTCCCAACCAAAGTAGCTTCATACCAGGGAGACAGACTATTGATAATGTTATTATTACTCAAGAGATTATTCACACTATCAAAAGGAAAAAAGGGAAAGTGGGGGATATGGTCATTAAAATTGATCTTAAAAAGGCCTATGACAGAATTAGCTAACCTTTCCTTCATCAGATACTTATGGAGTTTAATTTTCCAACTTTCTGGATTGAGATTCTTATGAGTTGTGTCACAGGCTCTTCCCTCTCTATCTTACTTATGGAATGGGGAACCTCTTAACCCTATCACACCTAAAAGGAGGCTTAGGCAAAGGGACTTTTTGTCCCCCTACCTCTTCACACTTTGCATGAAAAAATTAGGTCAATTAATCAAATAAATAAGTGGAAGATAGACTTTGGAAAGGAATTAAAGCTTCTAGAAACAGTCCTGCAATCACCCTCCTCCTTTTTGCAAATGATATTATCCTTTTCTCTTGAGCTTCTGAAAGGGATTGTGACATGATAAAAGAAGTTTTAGAAGATTTATGTACTATCTCAGGACAGAGAGTTAGTATGACTAAATCCAGGGTATTTTTTTCACCAAACATCTACAAAAGTAGAGTTAGGAACCTTAGCATAAGAAGTGGTCTGACTTTAACCAAGGACCTAGGTAAATACCTAGGAATCCCAATTCTTCATCAAAGAACAAACAAAAATACCTACAATTATCTGGTTGAAAAAGTCCAAAAGAAGCTTAGTGGATGAAAGACTAATAACCTTTCCATGGCAGGGAGAGCAACTCTGATAAAATCTGTCATATCTACCTTCCCTAATTACACCATGCAGACCACTTGGCTCACACAATCCACATGTGATAGAATTGACAGGCTCAATAGGAATTTCCTGTGAGGAGATACAGAAGAAAAGAAAATGGTACATCTCATTAACTAGAACATTGTCTGTAAGCCCAAGGAGGAAGGAGGAAGGAGGCCTTGGCCTTAGAAAGACAAGAGAAAGCAATTTGGCCACACTGGCTAAGTTAGGCTGGAAAGTCAAGGAAAACAAAGACACTTGTGGGTGAAAGTTATTAAAGAAAAATACATTAAAAACACCTCACAAGAATGGAATCAAAAAACCAATGGATCCACAATTTGGAATGCTACCCTTAAGACTAAACAAATTGTTAAGGAAGGAACTAAATGGCTCATTGGAAATGGTCAAAACATTTCTTTTTGGTCTGATTGGTGGTGTGGAAATACTTCGATTGCAAACAGAATACAAGTTCCAGGTACAGCGGATCCCAACACCAAAGTGGCAGATTTCATTGACCCCTCAGGCAACTGGAACTTGAATCAACCAGGTATACTCCTCCCCCCTAATGTTATATTGGACATTCAGCTCACTAGTATCCCTTTTAATAGTGATATGATTGACACCCCATGCTGGGGCCTTTATAATAAAGGTATTTTCTCAGTTGATACTGCCTATACATGGATTACTAAAACTGATGAGAACAATAATCCTTTGAATTTGAGCTGGGAATGGATTTGGCATATGTAAATTCCACAAAAACTCAAAATTTTCCTCTGGCTTGTCCAAAGTGACATAATCTTGACTAATAACCTTAGGGAGACCAGAAACATGACCAATGATGCGACTTGCGAGAGATGTAAAGCACATTATAAGTCTACTTTACATATCCTAAGAGACTGCTCCAAAGCACTGGCAGTCTGGAGAGCTCTCTTAGGAAACAACTGGGCACTGAATTCCCTTGACAATAATCTCAATAATTGGCTTCTTGAGAACCACAAAAATAAAAGAAAAGAAAAATGGAAAGGTGTTGAATGGTTGGTTGTTTTCACAGCTAGCATTTGGCATATTTGGAAGGATAGGAAGGAGTGTTTCGAAAGAATACAAACTCACCCTAGTATCACTGCCAAAAATGCTTGGCTTTTGGCACAGGAAATTAATTTGGCCTTCCTTGATAACCTTGAGTGTAAAGATCATTGCTCTAAGAACCTCATTAATTGGTCTTTCCCTCTTGCAAGTTGGATGAAGCTGGATGTTGACGGATGCTCCAAAGGGAACCTTGGACTTGCAGCAATTGGAGGACTTGTTAGAAATGATCAAGGAGTCTGGTAGCTTGGCTTCTATGGAAGACTCCCTAACTGTTCTAGTCTTCAAGCCAAACTCTGGGCAATTTACAAAGACCTTTAGATTACTCAGTCTCAGGGAATGACGAATGTCATGGTGGAAATAGACTCCCTAGATGCCCATAGACTCCTAACAACAAGATTGGAAGAAACGTACCCGAAAAGAGGGATCATTGCTGAATGCAAAGAGGCTTCTCTCCTTCCTCAATTGCCCCTTCTATCACACTTGGAGAGAAGGAAACTTTTGTGCTGACAACCTTGCAAATTTGGGTGTCAAGCAGGATGGTGGTTTGGTGCTCCTCAACTCTCCACCTAGCTCAATGGGTGAGTTTTTGAGAAATGATTGTATTGGTGTCTCCTATGTGAGAGGCTTTTGTTGGTTTTGAACCTTTCCAATGTACCAAAAAAAAAAAAAAGAATAGTGATGAAATGAATTAGGTAGTTAAGGTGAGATGTTAAAAAAGAAATGCATAATTAGAATAATTTTAATTTTCAAGACTTCAACTCCTTTCATTTGTCAAATAGTTTAATTCAATTTGATATTTAAATTTCAATAGATACCAAACAATTTGCGGATTAAAAAATTTAACATTCAACGCTTAAAATTTAATATTTAATTTTTTGTATTTAATTTTTAATTTTATCAAACATTGATTTAGAATGGAACCATCTCAACTCTTAAGTCATATCACTATAAATATATAGAAATACAATTTGGTTGGGGATTGCAATAGTGTTCTTTGCGACTTGAAATGTCTATAACTATTAAAGAATAATTCAGACAAATAGATTTTTAAAATATGAGAAAATTCGTTATTCTTTCCTTTACATATCTGTCTCTAGGACTCTGGTAGCCCTTTTTGCCTTCTGTTATTTAGTTTTTGGGATGGTAAACAGTGACCCACGCGTGAGGAATCTTTACAACTTAGTTAAAAGAGAACTCATTTGAACCTCTCTTCTCCTAGAAAGAGTAGCACCGCCAATCTATCTGATTGACCTTCAAAAAGGATAGGCACATGGATGAGCAAACAATGCAATTAATCTATTTGTAAATGTAACAAAAATAAAATTGTCAGAGAGATGTATTGGAAAAAGTATTCCTCCCTAATTCATTATTATCAGATTTTTGAGTTATTCGATTAAAACTATTTTTTTTCCTCCAATCACTCCCACGTGTTACCCCCATCAATTTTTCCCAGTGGACTAATTGGTTCCAAAATATAATTGGATTTCTTACACTTTCCGTTAAAAGATTTTAAATTTCTCGCTTTGTATCCTTAAATTTTTCATATTACATCATCAATGTATCAAAAATGTTACGATACAACTATTTTGTTAACTTATATTATTTTTTCCGTCAAAATCCAGCATTGACCCACACAAAAAACTAACAAAAAATCATATTGCACTATTTTTAATACATTAAAGAAGCAATATAAAAAATTTTAATTTTTAAAAGTGCAAAATAAAAATCTTAAAATCTTTTAAGGTGCAAAGTACAATTTGCCCAATATAATTCAACATACTTCGGAGTGGATCTGATGCACTTAGCGAACTTATTTATGTATATATCCTAATCCAACTTAATTATATCTGCTGCACTCTGCCAGATTTAGTTATGTAGAACCTGACAACAAGAGCCTTAATACCAATCCATTCCCTGTACTTTAATGGGTTCGGAAATCATCGCTCTAGTGGTGGCCACTACCTCTATTACAAATCAAAGGTCTTTGGATTGGTTGCGACGAGGGTGGCTAGAGCAGGGTTTGCATTAGGGCTATTAATTGGATTGAGTTATCCCAAAAGTTTGTATAACATGCCTACCCAACTCATTGCACACGCACACACAGAGATCCATAGTTTTTATTATTTCAAGGTAAGATAATGACCATATCATAGGTTGCTAGCATCAATGTCCAGCGGAAGCAGCTCAAAACCTATCCCAGTGCCACCACCACCATGCTAAAACCCAAGTTACTCAAAGCATAAAATTCAAAACAAAAACAGGCTACCATTCGCATTGTTCATTAGCTTAGGCATCAGCAAATCTGCAAAACAAGGCAACAGTTTACTATAATTGGCTTTGCATTTGAATCAACAAAATTGCCATGGTAAATCGACCCAAAAAATAGAAACAAGTAGGAAGGTATGCAAATTACCCCAGTTCAGAAAGCTTCATATGAGCTTCTGCATAATCTGCAAAAAAGGCATCTTCATCCTGAAATAAAAACCAGTGTCAGCAATCCGGCAAAAAAGCAAAGAATTCCAATCACAGGAACTACTTGTTAACATGGTACAATATTGAATAACATAAAAGGGGATATATACGAACCGCAGCATATTTCTCAACTAGGGGACGAAATGCAGGGTCAGAGATAAGTGCCTTGTCAGATGGAAGCTGTATAAGCCCTTCCTTTTCTCCACTCAGGAGTTCTCTGTTAAAAGTTTTCAAAAACATGAAAATATCAGGTGACTCTAGGTGCTATCTATCATAGTTAATCGTATTTGGAACTACTGGCTGTAATGAATTAAGTAATAAGTTACCAATATGACTCACGTAAAGTAGGTGTTATCAAAGATGAGAGGGTTGGTGGTCCAGGGTCCCTCAAATCCAGAACGCTCCTTGTGGCACCTTCCCTGAACAATTCTTGACCAAGTAAAATATAAAAATTCCTAATATGCATTAAGTAGCAGAAACTATAGGCACAAGCAGCAACGAGAACTTGGAAGCTGGTACTAACCAGGGTATGGCCACCAGAGAGAGCGACAATGTCCTTGTCACTAAGTCCCATCTGCTTAACAAATACATCCCTCAAGTGGTCGGAACCTGAAACATAAATACAAAATGTTAAAGGCTGAGGGATATATTACATGTTTATCAGCTCACAAGCTAGACTTTTATCTTTTTAACTCTAATTACTTCCCCGTTTACAAAAACAACTACTAGAACTATAACATACTGACCCTTAGTAGCATCAGGTAAGCGACCTTCAACTGGTGGCTCGCTCTTGTCCTGAGAGGAGGGAAGGGATATCATTATTCATTAACATCAACCTAGCTAAGGACAACATATATCATAGGCAGACAATTGCCATCTCTAACTCTAACATGGCAAACTAAGATTGGGTGCTTGTTTGTGAATCTTACGTAGACATAAAACCAAAGATGAAAACAGACTCACAGTTGTCAAAAAGAAATAAAAGAAAATAACATGCACAGATCCATCTACAATTCCATCATCAGTTCCAACAACAAAACACAAGGTCAAAATTTGTCCCAAAAAACATCAAAGCAAGTATAACTTTTTCCATTTGCTCTGAAACCAAAACAGCCACCATACAAGGTCCTTCAACGAACAACAATCAAACAAATAATGCACTGAATACCCTGGAGGTTTTTTAAATTTTCCTTCTCATGTAATTGTTCATAAAGCAATTTGCTAGGAACACCGGCATTCTCTTTGTCAATCTAGACATACATCCAAGACTTTATTTATGTCACCTGTATTTTACCAACAGTAACATAGTCTAAACACATAGTAGCAATAAAAAAGAATGATGCTCAATGATCTATAGTTCAGCATTAGTTAAGTACAGAAGGCCAATTCAAGATGCAAGGAGGACACCAAAGTCAAATTCGAGCGTAATCAGAATCAGATCTGATTCTTGCAACATTCATTTACAGGAAACTCGGTCCTAAACATTCATGGAAACTCTAATAGAACATTCAAGCACAAAATCTTCTGCTTCTTTAGCACAATAAAAACCAGGAGGACGAATGCATGGACATCTGAACTCCAGATGACACCAAAGTACGCATTAATGGTCAATTCAAAGACATAAATTAGAATGTCACAGGTCCAAGCATCAATTACGATTAAGGTTTTCCATATACCCCACAAATGAAATAAACACAGAGACCAAGGCAGTTTAACTCAGAATTCATTTAGTTCAATGAAGATTCTGAATATGTTTAGAAATAAAAAAATTCAACTACAATAGAGTGAGACAAAAGAAATTCACTAACCTCCCTCCCTGGGTGGAATGGAACCTCAGGTCCTCCAGTCACTTCGACAGCAACAACTCCAGCCAACTACAATCAAGCAAAAACACATTTCGGTAGGGGAGAAAAAAAAACCTTCAGCCAATTACACTGACACCTGTAAACAACTATTTCGCTGTGTGTGTGTGTGTAAGAAAGAGAGAGACAGAGAGTTGACCTGATAGAAATCAGCGTAAGAGAGGATTGGGAACTGTTCTTTGATGGGCTCCAAAAGCCTGACGGCAATGTCGAGACCATTGTTGGCTCCATGAGCCAGTTCAGCCTTGTGCCTCATCGTTCCAAACGGACCTCCGGTCTTAGACCCAACATCAAAAGTACCAGCAGAGTGCCACCTAAAACCACCATAATTGTTAAACCATCCATCAATCTCTATAACATAATCAAAATTCACGTGTAATCTATGCAAATGAGACTAGAGCTAGAGCTAGATAAAAAGGGGCGAGAGATAGAGATTATACGCGATACGGAGCATTAGAGGAGCACATTTCTTCTCAGCGATGAAGGCTCTCAGCTTCCTCTTGCATTTCTCAACGGCCTTCTTGTACTCCTCGCTCACAGTTGGGTAGCACTTCCCCATAGTAGCGGCTCTATAACGATTTTCCGACAAAATTACTTCAGATTCAGATCAAATGACTGATGATCCATACACACACACACACATATATACACATATGAATACAGTTATCAAAGTTGCAGTGAAGAGAGGGAGAAAGAGATCTGTGAATGCGTACCTTTGAAACAGAGTGAGGACAGAGACAGAGTAAAAACCCTAGCAGAAGACTGGCACGAGGATAGCACAAGCAGTGTCCGGGGGAGGTGAATAATGAAGGGGGAGATATAAGGGTCAGGAGAGAGAGAGTGTTCTAGTAGGTTGTTTCGGGCCGTTGGATTGATGAGATCGTGCAGTGGATGCGGTGCATTTGGATGGACGATTGAGATTGGTTTTGACGACGGAGTGTACGGTTGGTATTGTGGTTGGGAGGAAATTGTAAAATCGGCAGATAATAATCAAATAAAGTCGGTCTATTGGACGAGAAACTTGGAATATTGTGAGCCAAAAGAGACGGCATTTTGTTATGAATATGTTTTAAAATTACTAAAAGGTCCTTTGGTTCTCTTGGTTGGTTTTCAAAATAGGCGGGAAAGCAGCTATCGGGTGCCTTGCGGTACACCATAATCCTTACTACTACGCAGTATCTCAATCCCTATGTTGCTGGTAAATAGAATATGAATAGTGCTCCTCTTATTATCCTAAATTCTTTATTGTCAAGGCTAATCTTGTCCAACCATTGTCAGTCAGCAGAGAAGCGAATGCAACGGATAGAAGCCTAATCTGAGGTCATTTTGGTCATTTAAGTTAAAGATCTAAATCACTAGGTGTGAACGGGTTCAGTAACAGAAGATTCCTTTGAGTGTGGTTACTAAAGTCACCTCCGTCACTGTAATATCTATATGACAGGCACCCTGGATTTGAATATAGTCTAGTCTGTTTTGTCTCTATGGCTGTGAAACGTAGGTAACTGCTCAACCGGGTGACGAAAAGATCTCTCCATTAATATTTTATGAAAATGACGTTAATCAAACTCTCCAACAGCCGTCGGGTTGATGAAGCTTACGTGTCACGGCGCACTTTAGTTCTGTCTATTTGGTGCCGATTTGGAAAAAATTAATTCGTGACAACGTTGATATATTATTACTAATTGATAATAATAAAATTAATAATCAATTCTCTATATCTTATATAATAAAAGTAGCTTAAAATTTAAATTTTAAAAGATAAACAAAATAATTTTTACTATTTACGGTTAAAATCGTTTTAAATTTTACTTTAAAGTTAACTTAACAGTTAATATTAACATTCTAAATTTAATAGAAAGAATAGGTCCCTAAAAAATTTGTTTAAAGAGACTTTTTAAAAGTACTTTTAAAAATTATTTTTCATAAATACTTTTAAAAAAATATAGTGTTTGAAATCGCCTCACCACTACATCTACCAACATTATCACCATCGTCATCACCACCACCGTCGTCGTTGTCACCACCATTATCATCGTCATCGTCGCCGCAACCACCATCACCATCGCCACCATCACTATCGCCACCGCCTCCACTATTGCCACCCCCACCACCACCCCCCGTCACTACGGTCATTTTCACCCACCATAACCATTATCGTTTCTTATCACCACTACTATCGTCCACCATCTCTCACTTCCACTATAAATCGATGTTTAAATTCTTTTATCTCTTTTCTATATTTGTGATTTGATTTTGAATATGAATAAAAATATATTTATTATTTACCATTTTAAATTACTATGTGCCTTCAGATACAGACAATAACTAGTCTATATAATAAAGTAGCTTACAATTCAAATCTCAAAAGATAAACAAAATGACTTTTACTATTTGCGGTTGAGATCGTTTTTAATTTTACTTTAAAATTAATCTAACGGCTAATATTAAAACTCCAAATTTAATAAGAAAAAATAGACCTCTAAAGGTGTGTTTGGAGTAATTTTTTAAAAGTGTTTTTAGAAATTATTTCTCATAAGTATTTTAAAAAAAATATTATTTTGAACCGTTCCATCGCTACCTCTACCATCACTACCACTGCCGTCGCTGCTGCCACCACCACCATAGTCGTCACCCTACACCATTGCCACCGCTGCCACCATCGCTGTCACCGCCACAATCACCCACTACCATCGTCATCGCCACCACTACCACCACCACTGCCACCGCTGCCGCTGCCACCGCCACCTCCACCTCCACCTCCACCTCCACTGCAACCACCACACCCGCCATCACCACCACCGCTACCACTATCGTGGTCACCACCACCATCACCGCTGTCGTCGCCACCACCACCACCAGCATTGCTGCCATTACCACCATCACTACCGCCCACTATCTCTCACCCCCATTACAAATCGATGTTTAAATTCATTTATTTCTTCTCTATGTTTGCTATTTAATTTTGGATATGAATACAAATATATTTATTGTTTATCATTTTTTATTACTCTGTACCTTCAAGCACATGCAATAACTAGTCTATATAATAAAATAGTTTACAATTCAAATATCAAAAGATAAACAAAATGACTTTTGCTATTCGCAGTTGAGATCGCTTTAAATTTTACTTTAAAGTTAATCTAACGGCTAATATCAACACCCTAAATTTAATAGCAAAAATAGGCTCTAAGAGTGTGTTTGAATTGATTCTTAAAAGTACTTTTAGAAATTGTTTCTCATAAATACTTTTAAAAAAAAAATAATGTTTAAAACCGCCCTACCATTACCTCTACCACCATTACCCCCGCCGTCACTGCCACCGCCACCACCACCATCGTCGCTACCACCACCACCGTTGTCGTCGCCATCACCACCACCGCTGCTGCCAACACCACCGCCCTCGCCCCCACCCTCACCACCACCACCGCCACCACGGTCGTTGCCACCCACCACAACCATCACGATCTCTTATCACCACCACTACCACCCCACCACATCTCACCTCTACTCTAAATCTGATACTTAAATTCATTTATCTCTTCTCTATATTTGTGATTTGATTTTAGATATGAATACAAATATATTTATTATTTATCATTTTTTATTACTCAAAACACAGACAATAACTAGTAAATAAATAATTATTCACTCTTTTAATTTAAAGAGCAATTAGTCCAACAAAAAATAAGACCATTGGCAATTTGAAATAGTCGTAGTTCCGCGTAGATCTCAGACGCAATTTTTTTATAATGACAAATTGGGATATGCGGAAATACAATGTGATACCTTTGGAAATCTCAAATGTAAAAGGTTTGAAATGTAGTAATAAAAATTGGATCGATAAGAACTATGACCAGAGGCTTATCATCGAAGAAAGAGGTTCAATGGCACATAGCCTTCATATCAATTTATTTGGAACTTATGGAAAGATAAGAACACGAAGTATATTATGTTTATATAGATAAAACAGTACAAACACACACAAATATTGTGGCGATGAGTGCTTTGCACCTAGCTATGGAATCAACACAAGCTTTTAGGGCATGTTTAGATGAATTAGAAGTAGGGGGGATTGAATTGTTTTTAGTGAATTTTATTTTGCACTATCAAAAATTTAAAATTTTTTATTTTATACACTCAAAGATTAAATTTTTATATCGTACTCTCAATTTATCAAAAGTGTTACAATATGGTCAAAAATCAACCCATTAACACTAACCAAAAAACTAACGTAAAGTTAACAAAAGGATTACATTACAATACTTTTGGTACATTGAAGGTGCGATGTGAGAAATTTAATCTTTAAGTGTACAAAATAAAAAACTTAAATTTTTTTAAGATGCAAAGTGTGAAAATCTTGATTGATTTTTTTTTTTCGGGAGGTAAAATCCCGATTGATTTTATCAAACCTTTTTAAACTAAACTCAATATAATCCTATGTTTGATAAACAATATAAATAAATATGGGACCCATGAATTTATCATAATTATCACCACACATGTATCTTATAAATTATTATATTACCTTTTGTTGATCAATCTAATTTATACTCATGTTTGTTTAATTACACTTTTTTTTTTCTTATGAATTTAATATTTGAACTAAACTTAAGTTAATATTACAAACAAAATATCCTTCTCTGAATAAAGACTTTTACATAAACATAAAAATGATTCATACATCACATAAAACATGAAAGAGAAAGGATTAATTACGATCAATGAGAGATTAAACAACTAAAAGAAAGGTCGACTCTTTATGATCCTTCTTTTCTTCAAACGGAACAAACAAAGATTTCACATCGATAATGAAGGGGCATTAAAGCTACGACACGTGTGATGAGCATTTAATATGCTCATGTGAGGGCGACGTGGTAGATCAAGTGAAGAAACAGTAAGATAGCAGCTAAGTCAAGTTATGGACTCTCATCTCGTGAGGCTGGACCGAACTGTTTAAGAGTTCGGCAAGAAGAACAAGAGCTCGGTTTCAACAAAGCCGAGTTCCACAGCACCACACTGAGGGGATGCCTATAATTTAGGCATTCTAGTATAACAAATGAGCATAATTAACAGCTCGGAAAGAGCCGATCAACTGGGGGAGCATCTAGAGAGATTTCGGCAAATCCTTAACAAATATCTCAGATTGGTAGGAGGTGTGCCACCTTATATCATTAATCAGAGAAACCCTAACGAAGGGAAACACTATAAAGGGAATCAAGTGTGGCCAGTAAAAGGTACACTCAATTCTCCTTATACACATATTCTTTACAGTCAATTATTAATTTAAGTATCGGAGTGCTTTCAATCGAAACATTTCGATCCTGAACAATTTATTTATTTTGCAAGAAAAAGAAGGTAAAGTACAGAGCCCAAACTAAACAATTTTCATGGGAGGTAAATCCATTCTTTGTCCCTCATAGATAAGGTATTTTTTTTTTATGAGATCAAAAAATTAAATCCAAGCACTCCACCCTATTGCCACCGTTAACTACCACAAGTGATCCCAACAAAACCAAGAAATCAAGCAGTAAAAATCAAAGAAGAATAGTTCAACCGTCCGTTTAGAAGATTGGGTCAAGGGTTTGGGTGATTTGGGTAGATAGGAATTTAATTAGGGAAATGATAGTCTTTTTATCCACATATTTAGTGTTGACTGAGATGAAATCCACCCTTTTTAGGGGCTGTTTGGTAAGGGGGTACGGGGGACTTGACAAGATGGGTTTGAAAAAAATAATCCAAAAAGACCCCCTAAATTCTATGTTTTGATTGAAAATTCAATTTCGGGTTCCCAAACCCGGGCCGTAACTAGCCCGAAGATTAAACTTATGACTATGAGTTTTGACGAAACCTAGGGAGGGGTGAGTTTGGAAATATGGGTAAGGGATTAAGGATACAAAAGACAATTGTACATCTTAACACGAGTATGAATTGGATTGATCAAGGATACAATAGTCATTTACATAACAAATAATTGTTAATAATTATGATATATTTGTGGGTCCTACATATGTATATGTTGCATACCAAACATGAGTACAGATCGGATTGAATGTTGAATCTCATCTTTCTAAAGAGTGATTTGAATTTGGAAGGGTTTGGAGAAGCCAATCCAAACCCTTCCCCAAAATTCATCCAAACAGCCCTTAGACTTTTAGGTCAACTGTTCAGCACCAGTCGGATTATGAATTCCGAGCCTAAAATCTCTAACTAAACTGATTAGTCCATTGAATTATTTTACCTAAATCCATCTTTATAAAATCACCCAAATCCATGAAACAAACATGTGCTGAGGGGCTGTTTGGTAGCAGATATGAAAGGACTTGGTAAGATGGGTTTGGAGAAAGTAGTTTAAAGAACCCTCAAACCTTATGTTTGAATTGAAAATTTAATCTTGCGTTCCCAAATCCGATCCGTAATTGACCCGAATATTAAAACCATAATGATAAGTTTCGTCAAACTTAGGGAGGATGGATTTAGAAAAATGGGTTAAGGGATTTAGGATACAAAAGACAATTGTACCCCTTAACATGATTATGAATTAGATTAATCAAAGGTAAAATAATCATTTACAAGACAAATAATTGTTAATAATTATGATATATCCGTGAGTCCTATATATATATATATATGTATTGTATATCAAACATGGGAATAGATTAAATTCAACATTAAATCTCAGTCTTATAAAAAGGGATTTAAGTTTGAAAGGATTTACGAAAATCAATTCAAATCTTTTCCAAAAATTCATCCAAACAAACTCCAAAGGTTTTCAAAATATCTTAAGCTAGCAGACTGATTGGTTGGAATTTTGCTTTTACAAGTTGCGCTTAAACTAAACTTCCATCTAAGCGGAATTATGGGTGACACACAATTATTTGGAGCTGGTGAAATAAAAGAGGCTAGACACAGTAAAAGAGGCTAGACACAGTAGGGGTGACAATTGAATTGGGTCGGTCCTGCTGGCGTATAACATTAATCAACTCTAATCTAATTCGTTTAATTAATCGTATGGTGTCATGTCGTATTGACCTATTTATTTTCGCATCGTGTTCATGTTGGTATTTACTTTCGTATTGACCCATATAACCTGTGAATAAAAAATTTAACGCTTAATTTTATGTCTAAAATTTTATTATTACTTAATTAAACCTATTATCATACTTTTTCTATAAATTAAAAATTAACGTAATAAATAAAATAATAAAAATGAGTAAAAATATTTTTTTTGTACAAGAATTATTAGGTCCCTACTTGATAAAATATAATTAAAAATTAATATTTATTCTTATAATATTATTTAAACATGTTAATCGTGGCAATTTCGTGCTCAACACTAACCCAATCCATTTATTATTTATGCTAACAAGTCATGTTATATACGGACTCAAGTCGAGAAATGGTTAACCCTGACTTACTAATTTCGTGTCGATTTCGAGTCATATTTTCGTGTTGTATTAGAAATTACCACACCTACAACAAAATCATGGTAGAGATAGACTCCTTGGGAGCAATCAGTTCAATCACATTGAATGTTGAAAGACAAATACAAACAGAGCACTGATTAAGAATTGTTGGTACCTAATGCCTAGCTTACATTTAACTAAAGCATATTATTGGGGAAGAAAACCAATGTGTGGATGGTTTGTCAACTAAAGAAATTACAAATGGTTGAATCCAGGTAAGATCAGGCACTTAATTAGTGCTGAACTAACCAGTATTAACTATTGTAAGAGCACCTAAGTAACTCTGCTTTCCTTGTTCATTGTACCAACAAAAAGAAGGCATTTGTTCATTTGTAATTCTCTTCAATACAAACATCAAATAAAACTATAAACAAGCAGGCTCTACAAGTCCTGGCTATTATAAGACAGCAAATGGCGTATCACATAGTACAGGTAATCGACTATCAATAGCTTCGTGTCGATCATTATGAGGGCCAACACTGTCGACACAAGCAGCAGGAACAAAGTCAAAAAGGTAGTCAAGAAGGTTGACAATTTCCCTTCAAGAATATACCCGAGTATATGCTGTGGCAGAAAAACAAGTGGAGTTGATAATGGTGATGCAGGAAAGTATAGTTTTTGCTGGAATGGCAATGTGAAAATCATTGGTGTCAAACCGCGATAGCTGAATTAGCACGAGAATTGCTAAGGAGAGAAAGGCGAAGAAGAGACCAAGGCCTATGTACACCAGGAAGAAATCCATTTATTGCTTATAAGTTTCACGGAACATGGGAATGCCAGTGTTTTGATTGAAATCTCCAGGGACAGTGAAAAGCGCCGCGAAATTGATTGTGGCGATGAGGATGGCGATGATGATTAAGTTGTCACCCACGTGTTTTTCTGCTTTCTCAGCTTCTTCTCGAAGAGCTGAGTGATTTTCTTCGAGTAATTCTTCTGCTGCCTTTCCCTCAATGTTGCGAAGATGCCATAGGTGTGGATAAGAGTCATGCTTTACTCGCTGTAGGAAAAAGAAAAAGGATTAGGAAGCATCAACGAGGTTTAAGGTTTTTTAAGTATTGTGCTAAGAATAAGGTTGAGATTTGGCTCGCAACCAGTGGACCAGCGGGCATGGGCAGTGGCAAACCCACATTGAGAGTAGGGGGACCAAACTCCTCCCCACATCCACATGCTATAAAGTCTAAAATTGCCTTTAATACCTTAAACCAAAGCACATCCCAACTCATCTGGTTCACCACTCCAACACTTCCCCCCTTTGCCCCAACATGAAAATTGGCACTCCATCGATCACCAACATCTGTGAATCCAGAAGGAGAGCTAGCCGGATACCCCACGCATGTTGCAAGATGCAAGATGGTGTTCCCTTGGTTATCAATATCTGCTAGCATCCTATCCTTACATGCACCAAAGTTCATCAAGTAGTCATACTGAAACCTATGCTTCTGCTTCACTGTTATATGCAGTATGTTCCTTCCATTCTCATCAAAGGAACCAGTGGCCTTGGGATATTTTTGGAGGATCAGCATTACCAGCTCGAGAATGCCAAACCTTGTTGCCTGTATTAGCGGGTCAGGCACTGTATTTGTCTTCCTTGAAGATATCCCAAATGAGCTGTCTTCAGGGTCTATACTTTCATAGCAAATGTACCGACTCCAATCTTCTTCACCGATCAATCTATTTGCCAGCACTACGGCAAGTTCATGCTTTTGCTTGGCATCATCAATTTTTTTGAAATACCAGCAACCTATATAACAGGAGAGAAACTGTAAATAAAGTAGAAGCAGCAGCAGAGAAAGAAAAATACCATAAATTGCATGTGTCACTGAAAGTGATGAAGTGACTGATAGTCCTGGAAAATGCTATTCATACTTTCTTTTTAAATGGTGACAATATAGTTTCATCCGGTAGTTGACTTCTCTTCTTTGGGATTTTTAGCTTGTTTAACCAGAAATCAAGCATGTGAATCTTTTTAATTCATAGAAAATTAAAGACAAGCAGATGAAAAACAAGAATAAGAAGAGCTAGCACACCTAAGATTCTTCTGATGAAAGATGACCTTTCTATTTTGGAAATTCCAAGTCTATTAGCATTTGGATGCTCCAAAGCTGCCTCGACACACATTGTTGGAATACCTGCTCAACCACAATATAATGCAAAACTCAAAAGTCGTTCTAGTTAAGTAGGCTCTTACTTAACTGCTTGATAAAAAAAAATAACTTTTCTACAAGCTCAAGCAGATGAAGAAAGATGTGCTAGTATATATTTCAAAGACCTCAATCAATTATTGCCATTCTGAGGCCCAGCGTGTCATAACCTCATAAGAAAGAAAGAAAACAAGAAGTGGAAACCTTAAGAAACCTATTCGGCTCTTTGTTGTTTGATTGTTTCTGGGACAAAACTAGAAGATTTTCGTTTTGAAGTTATATTCTAAAAAGAAAGTTGGAATAAGCCGCACAAAATAGATATATAAACAAAAAATTATGTTTAATACTACGGTGGTGTAATGATGTAATACTTACAGTTGTAGATTACTGCTTCAACTACCTGCCAGGGGATGAAAGGTGTCCTGCTTAGATCATTCAACATATATGTAGATCTGCTTCTAAAAGAAGATGGTTTTGAGGCCAACAAATTGAAAGGAGTAATAACCTTCTCATCATGTTTTTGAGCAAGATCAGGGTATGACTCCAATATGCTCACAGCCAAACCTAGTTGACAAAATACAAAATCTTAAGTTGTTGAGATAGTCGGCTAGCTTTTCATTCATAACTTCACATTTCTTACATGCAAATTCTTTTGTGTTAGGCTATTACTCTTAATTATCATATGAGACGCTTTGTGTGACACATACCAATACAATGGAGGAGGTCCAAAATTAAGAACCTAGTTCTTAATATCGTTGTTATGCTCAAAGATATCTATCCAACAATGTGGGTACTTCTCATTGTAATCTTATCCTTTCTCTTCTGTGTAAATAAAACTAAGTAAAAAGATCAAACTACAATTTCCAAAACTTACGGCAGGGGTAGGTTGTCACCACAAATGCAATGCTGTACTGGTAGATTGTGGCAGGCAGGGCCCCCTAGCCATAGATATGTTCCATGAAGGAAGATTGCTGGTGATCTTATTACCACTTTGAAATGAATATTTATAAAAAAAATGGAAGTGAAAACATACTGTAACGTTCTCCTTCAATCGCAGCATGGAGAACGGTGCAGCCATCGTACCTCCTTGCTCTGCAATCGCTATAACTTTTCAGAAGCTCGAAAACTTCCTTCTTACCATACGCAGCGGAAAGGTAAAGAGGCGTCTCGTTCAAATTATTCCTCTCGAAAGCTAAACTCGGTTTCTTCTTCACCATGATCTCCGCCACACCCTTATGTCCAAACCTTGCAGCTTCGTGCAGCGCAGTGTTGCCGTTGACATCCTTTCTCACGAGCATTTCGTCGAGCAGGAGGTCTGCCTGAAGTAGGCTTTCCATGGCGGCCACATTGCCATTGATGGCCAGAAGATGGAGGACCGTGTCGCCGCGTTTGTCGATCGGCACCGCGCCATTGTCTCTCAAGAAACTACGGTAGAATGGAAGTGAGTCTGGTGTATTTTCTGATGCAGATTCGTAAGCCACAGAACGGTGGCTGAACAGCTTGAAATTGGTTCCTGAGATTGCCATTTCGGCAAGTTTAAGGACGAATATATTGATGATGTTTTATTATGTATGGAAGGATGAGAAGCAATAAAAAAGGGATAATCTTATTTTACACCTGTTTCGATTCTTAATTTGTACCTTCTTACATTAAGTTATGCCAATTACACTTTGAAGTTTTCTATGATTTGCAATCTTACTCTTTATTCCCTTGGTTAGTAGCTTTCAATTTTTGGTTGGTAGCTTTCACTTTTTGTTTTAAAATTTCATTGTTTTGTTGAAAAATTTCGTACTTCTAGAAAAATCTATTCAAAGCCTAGAAACCAAGCAGGTGAGTAAGAGATTGATTAATTTTAGAGGGAGGAAAATATAATATGTATACAAGTATACAAATATTTTGACATCTTACTTTGTTGAAACTATAGACTATTGACCCTTCCTTGATTGTAATTTTTTACAAAATTTCTAATGATTTTAATGGGAGTCAAAATCTCAAGATTTTACGTGGAAATTGATAGAATATAAGAAAGTTAACGTGTTTTTAGAATAGAAGTCAACAAAAAATTTATTATTTTTTCCAATGGAAAAAAGAGATGAAAGAAAAAAGAGATGAAAAATGAGAAACAACTGTGAATCATTCCTTATGTACTAATTACTTAAATTTTGATTCAAATTTAAATTTGATTAAAAATTAGTTAAAAATAAACTTTTGCCTTTTACTTAAACTCATATCAAATTAGGAAAAACTCGAATTTTCAATTAAAGTTTCAACCACCCGATTTCACTATCTTTTAAAGATTTAACAATTATATTTCACCATTTTCTATGAATCTCTCTACTCTATCATTCACGATGATATCATTTGTCAAATTTAGATTTGATCTATTGACCCAAAAAAATGTTTGGATTAGATATTTTTTTAAAAAAACTATGAGGAATCAAGTATTATGAGTTTTTTAGCTTAGAAAAAAAATCTATAATATAAAACAAGATAGGCTTCCATAAGCCTATTTAATGGTCTCAAATGGATTTATCCAACGGCCACCAACATCCTTCTTATACCATTTATATTGTATTGTGTTTTCAAGTACGGGTTATTCCTAGTCTTAAGATATAACATGACAAAAAAATTATAAGAAGAGTTATAATGTGATAAAGATGACGAGGAAAATAAGATTTGAGTGCAAATGGATAATTAAAATGAAAAGAAATTTTGAAGGGAAAAAAGTATGGACAAAAAAAAGAAAAAAAAATTTGATTACAAAAAATAAAAGAAACATTGTGGAGAGAAAATGAGGCGTAAGGATATTTTTGAGGTTTTTTCTATGCCTAAGAGATCAAGGACTTAAATAATTTCTTGACTGACAATGTAATGGACCAGAATAAAAAAAAACAACGAGAATGTAAAATAGCAGATAAACTAAACTTGAAAGATGAAAGAAGTATTGTACATAACATTAAATGAAAGGCAATAAAAATCACTGGTGATGAACAATAGGGTGCAGTAAAATAAAGTTACCGGAAAGTAAAAATAAGTAGGAGAGATGTTGATTTTGTGTATAGTTGTTAAGCTTAATCGAGGATGATCATTTTCTCGTAGGCTTGCTTTCGTTATTTATAGGAATAACTTTCAATCGTTGAAGTCATCTTTCGGCCATGACTATGATCATGATCTCTATTTCTCGAGATATACAAACGTGCATTGAACCGTTTTCAATTGACGGTGCATGATGTCATGTCTCTCCGCTTCTCGGATTTCTTACTGTCTTACTTTATTAACCAACCTATTAAGTATGGACTCTCATCGACTTTTTTATGACTGTCGAATTACTTCTACGTGTCATCCTCGAATTTTATTAATTTTGGGTGTAATAAATATGTATAGAAGTATAAAACTATTTCGAATTAAGAAATAATAAAGCTCATGTCATTTTTCACTAGTAGGATTAACGAATAAAGAAGGCGAAGTTGGAGCCAAAAAAACAACAGCATACTATTATTTCTTTTAATATATTACAAAAAGTACATGTGTGAAAAGATTCAAAGGGGTGTAGGATTTTTCAAGGGGATGCATAAGATTTTTTAAAACATTAGAGGGGGTATATGATAATTTTGAAAAATTGAGTGGGGGTACGACCATGTAATGGACCAGAGAAAAAAAAAACAACGAGAATGTAAAGTAACAAATAAACTAAATTTGAAAGATGAAAGAAGTATTGTACATAACATTAAATGAAAGACAATAAAAATCACTGGTGATGAACTACAGGTTGCAGTAAAATAAAGTTACTGGAAAGTAAAAATAAGTATGAGAGATGTTGATTTTGTGTATAGTTGTTGAGCTTAATTGAGGAGGATCATTTTCTCGTAGCCTTGCTTTCGTTATTTATAGGAATAACTTTCAATCGTTGAAGTCATCTTTCGGCCATGACTATGATCATGATCTCTATTTCTCGAGATATACAAACGTGCATTGAACCGTTTTCAATTGACGGTGCATGATGTCATGTCTCTCCGCTTCTCGGATTTCTTACTGTCTTACTTTATTAACCAACCTATTGAGTATGGACTCTCACCGACTTTTTTATGACTGTCGAATTACTTCTATGTGTCATCCTCGAATTTTATTAATTTTGGGTGTAATAAATATGTATAGAAGTATAAAACTATTTTGAATAAAGAAATAATAAAGCTCATGTCACTTTTCACTAGTAGGATTAACGAATAAAGAAGGCGAAGTTGGAGCCAAAAAGCAACAGCATACTATTATTTCTTTTAATATATTACAAAAAGTAAATGTGTGAAAAGATTCAAAGGGGTGTAGGATTTTTCAAGGGGATGCATAAGATTTTTTAAAACATTAGAGGGGGTATATGATAATTTTGAAAAATTGAGTGGGGTATGACCACCCTTTGTCCCCCCCCCCCCCCTCCCCCCCACCAAAAAAAAAAAAAAAACCAAAGCTTAAGCATATGGAATGGGCTGGTATTTGATATTTTTCTTTTAATTTTGATGATACCAAAAATTATAACTCAAATTAGACCCATAGCAACGCAACTCATATTAGTCCTTACCAAAGACCGATTTAATTGAATCTCTGACTGCTCATATATAAATTAATCATTAATACATTAATTAGACCGTCAATTATAAATTTATATAATTAAGAGTTATTTTTAAATTTTTAAAAAAAATAACCTTAAATATAAATTCTTTACGTAAGAAGGAGTTAAATGATTATAATATAGGTCATATTTTGAGTTAAAATAAAATATCATATTAATTTTCAAGTATTAGAATGGTATAATTGAGTGTAAAATAAATGTCACATGTACAAATATATAATGTATGAGAAAAAAAAGGTGACAAGTGGCATTCAAATAAAAAAAAAGAAGAAAAAGAAAGAGCTTGAACAAGACTTCAACACTTATCCATGCGATGCATTCCTTGCATCACCACACGACATCAACCGAGGAAATCGTGGAGGAGAAAGGAACTTGAAGCACAAGGCCGGTAGCGAGCAAATCGTAGAGGAGAAAGGAAGAAAGTGAGGGAGGCACGAAGGCAGAGAAATAAAGAAAAATGACGAGATTTTGGATTCAAAATAATATGATTATTTTAGTTTCAAAGTCTATAAAAGTTGTCTAGATCACCATTATAATGATGGTGATTAAATTTATCAATATCAATTGGTGATTGGAGACACGGAGTAGTATATAATAAACTCCCGCTTTTTAAATTTTTTTGCAAAGAGTGTCATTTGATTATCTGAAATTTGTATTCTTATTGATTATTATGTCTGATACAAAATTTTGTTAATTTTATCGGTTGACTTGTGTGTTAGACTAAATACTTTGACATTGATTGATAAGCGTATAAAGTGTACTTGGGACATAATTGGTAAAAAAATGTGATTATAGTCTTGCGGGGTGCTATTGTGATTACAATCCTGCAGGGTGCTATTGGTTAGTATGAGTATGGATTTATATGCTTAAATATTACTTATCATGTCACCAAGAGGAATCAAATATGAAATTATGTTTGATAGCAGTTGAGTTAACTGACCTCGAATTGGATTCTTGATTAGTTTATCTATGATTGTCTATCGATTGAATTATTTGGTATTTGATCATTCATATTTTTCTTGTTGAACATATTGTTTATTGTCATATTATATATTTCTCTGCTTTTAATATTTTTTTTAGGACAATCTTAGAGGGAATGACCAAAGTTGATATTTGAGAATTCGAAGATGAATGAATCTTGATATAATTTTTAACTTTTATTGGTAGTTAGAGATCAAAGTTGTGATTATAATTTTTATTGAGGCAATTAGAATTATGTCCATGTATTCAGCGATAGTTGTGATTTATTGTGATTAATTAATTTAAACAAGTAACGCATCTAAAAAATGGGGGCAGAATCTATCCAAGGTCTATCTTAGACAGCAAGTTATCGCTTCAAGGACCACTAGTTATGATAAATAAAATGTGATACACATAAGGATATAAAAAATATTTTGGCATGTTTTATTACAAATTATATTAATCATTAGTCATTAATTTTCGTGAAGTTTCCAAAACTTTAAGCTTAGTCCAAAACACTTGAGGATACGTATCTATTTATATATCATAATTAGTGGTACGTCTTGTGCGATGCACGGGATTTTAATTTGTCTCTTTTTTATTTTTATATTGATCCCCTTTTTTTTAGTTTATTACTTAAAAAGTTAAATAAACGATTATAGACAGTTTTTTGTGTGAGAAAAATTAAATTTTTAATAAATTTAAAAGAATAGTGGTTAGTTATTGAGAGGTTGAGAGGTAGTTATAAATCACACATGGTAGAGTTTGATCGGAGGAATCTTCAGATTTTAAATTAAAAAATTCTAAATTCTAATAAACTAAAAAGTGAGGAGGGAAGGATTGTCGAGCATTCTAACATCTAAAATGTTTGTTATATACAAATGAGAAATAATTAATTATTGGGACAAATACAAAGACGATAATCTATAATTTGCTCAAAAGAAAGAGGTGAAAGGAATGACCATGAATCATCTCCTTTTCTAATATTCCGTTTGATATGATGAAAAAATGGAAGTATGAAACGTTGGAGAAATAGATAAAATATTATGTTTGGTAAGAAAAGGAAAATAGGATGGATGAAAAAGTGAATGAATAAGCTTTCTTTCCAATTCATCAAAATCAATTCCTTCAAAATTAAAAAGAAAGTGGATGAAAAATTAATTATTTATAATGAAATGTATCTTATTTGCGAATATATCCCTTGATATATATATATATATATATATATATATATATATATATATATATATATATATATATATATATATATATATATTAATTTTATATATAAATATAATGATAAAATATGTATTTATACTTTTTTAAAAAAAATTAAAATTTTTTTCCATCCTACTAAGTACAAAAAAAAAATTAATTATTTTTATTTTTAATTAATCCAACCAAACACAAAGGAAGAAAAATGTATTATTTCTACTTTCCTTTTTTGGAAGATAAAAAGTGTTTTCCCTCGTACTTTTTATCCCTCGTATTTTCTATCCTTCTTACCAAACAGAGCATTAGTAAGAAGACAAGCATAAAGCCCATCAAGATTAATGAACAACAAAAGAAAAATTTGAGTGCCACATAAAAAACAAAAAATATTTAGTAAAGTGATTCTTATGGCGACACATTATGTAATAAAGAATTGAAAACCATAAACTTTGACGACCAACCTTTGATATTTATTTATGGTAAGTAACAAGATCAAAAGAACAAAGCCCCGTCCATTTTGCAAGAAATGAATTTGACGAGCCTAGATTTAGACCAGGCCTTGACCCAGTCCATAGGTTAAACCCAAATCATCAAAATGCAGTCCAAATTTAGCTCATAGCCTCAGTTTAATCTAAAGCTCAAGAGTCCAGGGAAAGTTAGGCGCGCGTGAGAGAACAATCATCGATATAGCCATTACTCCAAGATAGTGGCTATTTTCAATAGTAGCTTGACCTTCACGTCACCACCACAGTTAAGCCTCTGTGCCTATAAATTGTAAACTTTCTTACAAATTGGGTGGGGGTGGGGGGGGAGGGGGCAGAACACACACACACACACATCACCTTTACCGTACTCTCTCTCTTCTACTACCTTGTACTCTCCCATTAATAGAGTTTCTTAGTCACTGTTTCAGCCTTCAGTGATTAGATCACTCAAAGCCAACTATCAATCTTTGTCTCGATCTTTGTCTCTTATTATTAATTGTTTCATTAATTGCTTTATACCACACACACGATTGATTTGATCTTGCATAAATCCACTTTTTTACATCATCAGTTTGACATCGTCTATGAGAATCGATTCGTCCAATTAACATTTAATTCACCAAATTAATATCTAAAATCATCAAATAAAGATTCAATTAATCAAATCAACACCAAAGTAACATATAATTTTATCAAATTAATATATTTACCAAAAAAAAAATTATCCAATTAATATTCAATTCATCAAATTTATACCAAATGAACATTCAGGATGTTTTTGGATAGTGGGATAAGATGAGTTAACATCAATTAGGATGGGATAACAATGTAATGGGGCCCACAAAATCCATTGTTTGGGATGGCAAAATGAGACGGAATATAAATTCCAGGTCAAAACTCGACCCGGATGTTACAGTCATTTTTAACCCTCCAAGATGGGTTAAAATTAACCCACCTCCCCCTTGGGTTTAAATCCCAACTGTATGGAAAAGCTAGGGTTATTACTTATTTACCCCTTACAACACTCTCGTTTCTTGTTCAAGATGTGAGACCACAATCTCTGATGCCCCCTCGTTTCTCGTTAAGGCTTGTGCTTGAGGGAGGTGCTCTCTCTGTGAAGGCGACGAAGAACACCGCGAAGAAGACGAATGGGATAATCAGAGGTAAGCGTCTCTCTCTCTCTCTCTCTCTCTCTGTGGACCGAACGAAAAACCATTACCCAAAGATCTGGTTCACTGTTCATTGACGAATGCACTGTGATTCAAAGCCCTGAGCAATGGCGATCGCAACTCTACAAAAAACTCTTCTCTCGAGTCCCACAACTCGTCGCTCTCTCTATTCCAGAGCAATCATCACAGGAGCTTCAAGGAATGCTTGTGGCCTTTCCGGATCCGAAGCCCTGAGACATCCTGTAATAAGGGTTTGCAAAATTGGTACTTCATTGTAAGGTTATCTGGATGAATTTTTTGGTATTTTTGAATAGAATGAATAATTTGCATACTTTTGGTACTTGATTTGGTTTAATTTTTCATGTAATTGTGACAATTTCTGTAATATTGTCCGAAATTTGATATTTGGATTTGTGGGTTTAAGTCTGTTGTGTGTAGCATTAAGTGCAAAATTTGTTCTTGTAACTTTTGTTTTATAATTGGTGTTAGTAAAAATGGTTGGTCTAATTTTCCATTGGCGAAGAGTTTGAATTTTTGGGAACAGTCTTGGAATCTCTCTAAGTTTTCTATTGACAATCATGAGAGAATTGGAAGTTTATTGTGCAATTATTGCTCATTTTTCTTGCAATCATTGGATAGTTCAAAGTAAAATTATTGTTTGTCATATGGAGATATTTTAACAAGATGTAAGGATACAAAGTTATTACAATTATATATGTTTGTTATATTCTCTTTTTCTGAGAATTTGTTCTGTGCTTAGGTTGCAGACAAAAGGAGCGAGACCTAGGGCTCCTGAGAATGGAGGGGGAAAGGAGTTCTTGCAGGCCTTAGGAGTAGAATGGTGTGGTAGGGTAGAGTTGAGAGCCTTATGGATTACCTGGATTCCTCCAGTTAATGGTTGGTTGAAGTTAAATGTGAATGGGGCATCTAAGGGTAACCTTGGGAGGGCAAGGGTGGTGTGGTGGTGAGAAATCAGTGGGTTTTGCCTTATGTTGTCAGAACTAGAGCTATTTGGGTATGTTGGGCATGTCCAGAAGCAGGAGTTTTGAAATTGAATGTGGATGGGGCTGCTAAGGGCAATCCTGGGGTTGTTGGTGGTGGGGTTGTTTTGAGAAATGAATGGGGAGGTAAGGTTCTGGCTGCATCTTTTTATTATGGTATTTGTTCAAATATGTGTGCAGAGTTCAGGGCATTGTTGGATGGTTTGAGCTTAATGGAGAGATATGGTTTGACCGGGTATGAACTCCAAATTGAGTCAAATTCTCTAATTCTGGTGAATACTGTGAGAGGTAAGGTGGGATGTTCTTGGCCTTATATGGGTAGCTGATGCCTTAGCTAATCAGGCAGTAATTGATGGTTTTTCTGGAAACAACCAGCTGCCTGCTGCAAAGTCTGGTGCAAGACCAGAGGTGTTTACCTGTTCTAAGAACCAAACAAGCTCTGGTTTTTGATGATCAAGGTTAAGGTAATGTGTCGTTGTTTAAGGTGTAGAAGACTGACAGAGTTGCTTAGGCATGTTGATAATGCCTTTGATGGATTTATTTCTGGTATGGATGGAATGAATAGTAGCCTGAGCCTGATTCAGATTGAAGAGTCTGGGAGGAGTTTTATTGTAGTTTTGTCATTATTGAAGGATTATAATCATGAAAATAGGATTGAAATGTATTTCTTTCCTTTTGATTCTTGTAAATCTTTGATTCATTGGAAATAAAATTTCTCCCCTTTTTTTTTTAAAAAAAAAAATATTTGTTGCTGCATTGAATTTTAAGAAATGCATTGAATTTTAAGAAATGAAATAAATTGTTGATTTGTTTGGAAAAACAATACAAATATATATATATATATATATATATATATATATATATATATATATATATATATATATATATATATATATATATATAACTTTCCTTATTTTTATATGTTTTTATGTATATGTAGAAATGTATTATTTTATTAGGCTTGGATGGGTTAACCAAACATTGGATAGGATTGGTTTAGATTAGAATGAATAGAGTCATGGGTACAATGATAAACTACTACAAAATTATTTGTGTAATATATGGGGCCCACTAAATTATACATTTGTTTCCCAAACAAAGGTTAGGATTGGATATAACCTTGGTTTAGGGTTTTAAAGTGGATGAGTGTGTTTGACTTGGATGAGTTAGGATATAAATAAAGAAATTCTATCCTCTTCTACCCCATTACCCAACCACACCCTCAATTCATCATATTAAAACCAAATTAAAATTCAATTCATCCTATTAATATTTAATTCATTAAATAACCATCAAATTAACATTTAATTCATCAAATTAACTTAAAAAATCACCCAATAAAGATTTAATTTATCAAATCACACCAAAGTAACATGCATTTTTATCCAATAAACATTTAATTCATCGATCAAATTCATATTCAAGTCAACAAATTAACATTCAATTTTATCCAACAAAAATTCTATTTATCAAATAAACACCAAAATAATATGCAAATTCATTGAATAAATATTTAATTCATCAAATCAACACCAAATTAATATTCAATTCAGCAAATTAACATTTCATTTCATCGAATAAAAATTCAATTCATTAAATTAACATTTAAATTCAACCACTTAATATTAAATTCATCAAATTAAGAATCAATTTCATCCGATTAATATTCAATTCAATAATTTAACACCAAATTGACATTTAATTCATCAAATCAACACTAAATTAACATTTAATTCATCAAATTAACAAAAAAATTAATATTCAGTTCATAAAATTTACATTTATATCCATCTAATAGACATTTAATTCATCAAATTAACCTAACAATTAATTTCATTCAATAAATATTCAATTCATCAAATTAACAGTAAATTAAGATTCAATTCAACTAGTTGGCATTCAAATTATCAATTCTCTCTAGAACTTTTTCCACTTATACCTCCAAAACCACCAAATATACCATCTCAACCTATAAATGAAACATCAAAACAACCAGATTCAATACCTGTACAATCAAATCTGCAGCAACAAACATTGAATCTTCATCAAAAACCTCTAGATTCACAACCAACTTATGCTTCTCTCTTCAAAAAGTCATCTCAAAATCAGTCTGTAGAGGAGGCAATTTCTAAGATTGATAAGCCGATAGTTTTCTATGAAAGAGAGCATGCTTTCTATTTTACCAATGATGAAATCAAGAAATCTAGTCTTTCTTTGCAATGTGCCTTAATTGGCAAGTGTGCCTATAGTAGGCCATCGCTTGGTGTGATTAAGGAAGTTATTCGGTTGAAGTGGAATCTGAAAGGTGATTTTGAAAACAAGAAGATTATGTGAAGACTTGGTTTCAAAAACAAGAAGATTATGTGAAGATTTGGTTGAAGGATGCTACCTTAATTGAAGATTACCTTTTTAGGTTCTTTAAGTGGTTTACAGGTTTTGTACCTGGGATAGAGCCTTCAATTGTTCCTATGTGGATTTCGTTACCAGGCCTTCTGCTCAATTTTTTCCAAAAGCCAGTCTTGGAATTGTTGGTGAAGCCTATTGGGAAAGTGTTGGCATTTGATCAAGCAACTTTATCTTTGTCCAGGCCCGGTGTGACAAGGGTTTGCGTTGAGGTTAATTTAATGGCCTTAAATCCCTCAAGAATCTGGTTGGACATGGGAGATGAGGGTGTAAGGTGGCAAAAAATTATTTACGAAAAGAATAAGAAATTCTGTAAGCATTGCAGGAAGCAAGGGCATGTGGAGGTTGAATGCCGAAAGCAGAAGTTACCAAGGAAAAGAAATGATTCAGATGAAAGAAACCCAGAAAATAAGGAGTCCAGAAAAGAAAGGATTACTGCAGAAATTAATAAGGGGAAGGGTCTCCAGAAAAATCACCAAATAGACAAGGGAAAGAATATTCAGCAAGTTGAGATTTCAGATGAATCGAGAAGGGTAACTCAGAATTTGCAAGGAGGTGGTCAAGATTTGGTAAGGCCCATGCAATCTATTGCCAAACAGAAAGGAGTTTGGATCCAGCAAACTCATGCGAAGGGTAGCCAGCAAGAGCGCAATAGCGAGGGGGAGAAATATAAAGTTATGGGAGAGAATGATGGAACTAAAATTAGTTTTGAGAACGGTAATCATTCAGGTAAGGACTTTGTTGTTCCTGAGTTTCTTGAGGTTATTCCGGAGGTCCAAGCAGATGACACTAATGTTAATATTGGGGATAAAACAACTGGTCGTGCAGGACAGATTGAGGTTTGTTCTAAAGATGGGGTATCCACTCCAATCGCTGCTGCTGGTGAGTCTGGTTCGTTGGCTGCGGGCAATCTGGTTCGAATGCCTGCAGCTGCTGCAGAGGAGTTGCACCAGCTACAAAAGGATGTTTCTGGGAATTTTACTCAGGATACTCCTACTGATGGCAGTGAACATGAAGAAGTTGAATTCAAAGAGGATTCTCAATGTGGAGATAAGCTTGAACATCCGATGACCACTGCAGAAATTCAATGTGACTTGAATATGCAATCTATACTTTCTCCTCAATCCACTTTTTTAATAGATCGCAATTATGTCTGTTTGAAAGGTAGAGAGTTTTCTAAGGATGATGATAATGGACTGAAGAGTGTAAGGGAGCCTCCAGACAAAGGTTTTCATTCAGATGGTGCTTATTCTGCTAATCTAGTATGTGTAGAAGTTCATTATCAGAGCTCGGATTCTGGGGATAGTTATGAGCCACCTCGACGATGTTCCGAATTAATTACCTCAGGTATGATTACTAGATCAAAGTCTAGCAAGCCCTCCTTCCAATCTTTGAATGATTAATATTATTTCTTGGAATGTGAGGGGTGCTCAGAACGAGCCCACAAGAATGAGGTTATTAAATCTGATTAGAAGTAATGATGTTAGTTTAGTCTCTTTATTAGAGCCAAAATTAATGCCATCAAAGTTCCCTAACCTGTGTGCAAGCTTAGGTTTTTCTTCATTTATGGTTAATCAGTTGGCTGAGAAGCATATTTGGATTCTTTGGGATCATAGAATAAAGGTCAAAGTCTTTGCTGTTCATGAGCAAGCTCTAACGGTGGAAGTTTCTTTTTTGGGCTCATTGCCGTTCTTTCTTTCTTTTATCTATGCTAAGTGTGATTATATGTTGAGGAGGCCTATATGGGCTCAGTTGGCTGGATTGCACATACCATCATCTCCGTGGATGTTAGTAGGTGATTTTAATACTATAGTGCATTCAGCTGAAAGGAAAGGAGGTGCCATTCCTACTCTTTACATTATGTCTGAGTTTGTGGCCTTTATTAATTCTGTGGGCTTGAAGAATTGTGGCTATATTGGTACTGCGTTTACGTGGTGTAACAATTGTCAGCAGGGAGCCAGGATGTGGCAGCAGATTGATAGGGCACTTATCAATGTGGCCTGGGATATAAGATTTGCGAGTATAGTTGTGGAGCATGTTGGTAAAGGGCAGTCTGATCATTGCCCTTTGATTTGTAAATTTGCAGAGGTAGCAGAGCCTAGAAGAACATCTTATTTCAAGTTTCAAGACATGTGGACAGAGCACCCAGGTTTTCTGCATTTGGAATCTATGCATTGGTCAGGTTTCTTTTCATCCAATCCTATTGAGAATATCTTTTTGAAGCTTATCTTTCTTAAATTTCATCTTAAGTAGTGGAATAAAGAAGTATTTGGGAATGTGTTTGAGAATATTAAAATGAAGGAGCATCAGTTGCTTCAAGCTAAGTTGGATTTGGAGAGGGATAGCTCTGAGGCTTGTTTAAAGTCTCTAGACATGGCCAAAAAGGAGTTGGATGAGGTTTTGAGGATGGAGGAGATTTATTGGAGGCAAAAGGCAAATATTAAATGGGCTATATATGGTGAAAGGAATACAAAGCTTTATCATGCAATTGCTAAAGGAAAATCGCAGAGAAATAAGATCTCAAGAATTAAAAATGAGCATGGGCAATGGATGGAGGATGAGGAAGCTATTGCAGGTTGTGCTGTGGATTTCTTTTCTGCTTTATATAAGTCAGAACCACATTTATTGGATGAGGATCTATTTCAAGTTATTCCTTCTTTGGTCACCCAAGAGGATAATCAAATGCTTACTTCTCCTGTCACTTTGGAGGGATTGAAAAATATTGTCTTCTCTATGTTGGTTCATGGTGCTCCGGGAGTTGATGGTTTCTCGGGAAAGTTTTTCCACTTTGCTTGGGATATAATTAAGTCTGATAGGCTGTCAGCTGCTAATTTTTTTCTGCAAGGAGGAGTAGTACCAAGGTCTGTGAATGCTACCCTCTTATCACTTATTCGCAAGCATGATAATCCTTCTTCATTTGCAGATTTCAGGCCGATAAGTTTGTGTGGTTTTCTGTATAAGATTCTCACTAAGATCCTTGCTTCAAGGTTTGGTGAGATTTTGCCTAAGGTAATATCAATTGAGCAGCATGGGTTTGTAAAAGGTAGAACGATGCTAGATAGTATTGCCTTAGCCTAGTTTACGGTGAGTAAAATTGATAGAAAGGTTGAAGGGGGTAATGCTATTTTGCTGCCGGATATGATGAAGGCTTTTGATAGAATGGAGTGGGATTTTTTGAAGAGGGTGCTTTGGAGTTTTGGGTTTTCTGAGCTCTTTGTCACCATTGTTTCTAATTGTCTAAGCAACCAGCATATTTCTATGTCTATTAATGGTGCGCGGTATAGATTTTTTCCAACCAGCAGAGGTTTAAGGCAGGGTGATCCTTTGTCTCCATCTTTGTTCATCATTGCAGAGGAGGTTCTTGGTAGGGGACTGAAGTGTGCATTTGAACAAGGTATGATACATGCATTTCATACAGGCAGAGGGACTATGCTGCTAAGCCATCTGCTATTTGCGGATGACACTCTGATTTTTTTGAAAGGTAATAAGAAGTCCCTTTGTAGGCCTCTTCGTTTGGTTCAAAGATACGAGCTCTCATCTGGGCAGAAAATTAATAGGCAGAAAAGTTCACTATACGTCTCGGCTAAGATGTTCACTGCTAGAAAGCATATGCTGTCTCATGCTGCGCATATTCCAATTAAAGCTACTCCTTTTACGTTTCTGGGCTGTCCTATAATCAAGGGGAGGGTTAAGTTGTACTATTTTGAGGACTTATTGCATAAGTTTCAAGCCAGGTTGGAGGGTTGGTATGCAAAGCTTCTATCTAACATGGGGAGAATTGTGCTTATCAAGTCGGTTTTAAACTCAATTCCATTGCATCTATTGGCCTCCTTGAATTTGCCCAAGGGAATCTTCTCTAAAATGGTTTTGGCTATGTTGTCTATTTTCTGGTCTAATTAGCCAGATGTTAAAAAATGGCGCCTATGTTCTTGGATGCTATTTCTTTGCCATATGATGAAGGTGGGCTAGGTGTTCGAAGGTTTGAAGATGTTCAGAGCTCCTTTCGGCTTAAGCAAGTTTGGAATCTATATCAAAATTCGTCTCTCTGGTCTCATTATTTCTCTGCAAAATTTTTTAAAGGGCAGCATTTATTAAGGAGTTCAAAAGCCATTCAAACAAAATGCTACAGAGTATTGTTTCCATGGTTTGAAGTTGTGGTGAATAACTTGAGGATGCTGATTGGTACAGGTAGTAATGTGGATTTCTGGTGTGACAACTGGTTGGGTACTGGTCCGCTGATTCTGAGAAATTCAGTCAAGCCACAGGACTTGCCTGCATTGTCTGAGGTGTTCATTCATGGACAATGGCATTTGGAGGATATCTCACAGCTGCTGGATGCTTGTTTGTTAGTAAGAAATTTTAAAAGCAGATGTGTCTTTTAGTTCACAAGCAGACAAGTTAATTTGGAAGCCAACTTCTATGGGTAACTTCTCTGTGAAAACAGCTTGGGAACTTGTGAGGGTTCATGGTTTGGCTGATTTGCAAACTTCTAGTATTTGGGCGCGCAATGTTCTCCTCCAAGTGCCAAGCTGCTGGGGTGGAAAATTATGAAGCATGCTTTGCCGCCTGATTCAAAGTTTAAAACATTGGGAGTTTCATTGGCGAGTAGGTGCTCATTGTGCTGTCAATCTGAAGAGACTGCCGCTTATCTTTTTATTGCCTGCAAGTATGCAGCTATCATTTGGGCAAAAATCTCAGCTAGTTTGGGAATCGAGTTATTTTCATCTGAAGAACCTATTACAAGGTTTCAAAGATTACTTAAAGTTTATAAATCTTCGTCATCTAGTCATATGCTTATTAGGGGAATCTCTCTAATAGTGTATTGGCAATTATGGAAGGAGAGGTGCAGGAGGTTTATTTGAGAATCAAAAGCAGCATTCTACCACTGTTTTTTCAATTATAATGCAGGTTTGGAAGTTGCAAGGATTTAATGTGAGGCCCAAAGCGATGGATAGTCTTCAAGGAAAAGTTAAGCTCCAAGCTCAAAATATTAGTTTGCCTGCTTTGCTGTCTGTTCAAGTGAGGTGGGTCAGCTGGGCATATCCACCATAGGGTTTTCTAAAGTTTAACATTGATGGAGCTTCTAAGGGGAACCCGGGACAGTCAGGGGGAGGTGTGGTCTTGCGGAATCAATGGGGACAGTTAGTTTTAGCTGGTTCCTATTATTACGGAGAATGTACTAACATGGAAGCTGAGGCACAAGCTCTGCTGGATGGGTTGTGTTTATTGCAGGAATTTGGATTAGTGGATTATCCAGTAATTATTGAGTCAGACTCGATGCTCTTGGTTGATATGATACATCAGCGTTGCATGTCATCTTGGAAGTTCTAGTCCTTATCAAAGCAGATTTTTATGTTGCTCAGGAGGTTTGATTTTCAGATGGTTCATACGTTTAGGGAAGGTAATACAGTTGCTGATGCCTTGGCCAACATAGGTGTCCAAACAAAAGTTTCATTATCGTATTCAAGTTCAAATTTGCTGACAGTTGCACTCAGGCTTCTGCTCCTTCAGGATCAGCGACAGATGAAGACTATTAGGCGAAAAATTCGAATAAAAAGATAAGCTTCACCTCTTAGGGATAAGCTCTCAGTTGCACTGTTCACGTGACTGTTCATTTGCGCTCCCAGCTCAGCCGTGGTTCAGCTTCCAACTGTTACAGATGTTTGCTGAAGCTGGAATTCTTCATCAGCTTGTCTCTTTACTTGCGACATTATTGGATTCCAAATTATTTTGTACTCTATCAGCTTTGAGTGCATCTTTCAGCTGGCCTCTGACCAACAGTCTGATGCTTTATCTCTTCTAACTGAGTCTATCAAATGGGATTTCAAACAGGATGCAAGATCCAATGTGGATTAGGTTGAAGACTTTTAGGAAATTATGCTTTCTAGATTATTTTTTAGTATTTTTCAAGTTAATTCATGCATTAGAATTTTTTAATTCCTTATTTCATTGTAATTAGATTGCATCGAGAAGTATGGTACATACTTTTCTCCAACTAGGTGTAATTTAATCTTTGAATCAATAAATCGTACCGTCGAGGTTTATCAAAAAATAAAAAAAATTTCAATTCATCTAATTTATATTCAAATTCATCCAATGAACGCTCAATTCATTAAATTAATATATAAAATTATCAAATAAAAATTTAATTTATCAAATCAACATTAAAGTAACATAAAATTTCATTTAATAAAAATTCAATTATCAAATTAACATTTAATTCAACAAATTAACATTTCATTTCATCTAATAAATATTTAATTCATCAAATTAACAATTAAATTCAACTACTTAATATTAAATTCATCAAATTAAGATTCAATTTCCTCCAATTAATATTCAATTCATCAAATTAACACCAAATAAACATTCAATTCTTCAAATCAACTCCAAATTAACATTC